ATTGAATCCACGGACGAATGGATGATTCAAGATATGAAAGGAAACAGACAGAACAAGTCAAATTACTCCCACACCGGGTATCCTGGACAGCGGTGTTTCCCAAAGCGACCAGTGGGACTCATTAGCTGATACGAAAACATTTGTTTTCTGGAAGCTACATTAATAGAGCATCTCATGTCTGATCCTAATGAGTGAGTAAATGACTATATCTCTGCTTTGTCCTTGTTTTTTTGTTATATTTTCGTAGCTTTACGTTTCTGTGGGGTCTTTTGTGTTTTAGCTTTTGTAGACGTGTTAAATTAAAAAATAAAACGGGTATTTTTTTTTAGACCTGAAAGTTTATAAAAATGTGAATATCTTATTAAAGTAACGCAAAGGAAACAGGATTAATTTTGAACCGAGTTGTTTACAATGCCCAATGGCCGCCTGCATTAAGAAACAGTCTGAACCATCGAGGCTAATAAGATTTGTATCATAGATAGCTRGTTTTCTTAAGGTCCCTTTAAACTGGCGATTTTTGTAGCGATTTTTGCTGCAATGTTTCAAAAAATGATAAATTTTGTCTTATCCTTCTGGGGAGATGTTTAGTTTCTCAGTATACTGAATAAAAGTTTATAAGTTAATGCTTTAGCATTGTTTTGTAGGATCAACGTGAATGAGCACAAAAATCGTCTTGTAAACATGCCTTTATAATTTTTAGTTATTAAAAAAGTCCTTCAATAGTTGTGATATTAATATATTGATCAAAAGAAAATTAAATATCTCCGAGTCGAAAACAGACATTTTAAGCAAATTAAACTTCGAATAAGAACGACATTTGTATAATATTCAGCTGATATCCAGCTGAAARAGGTTTGGAAACCTTTTTTTTATTTGGTGTTCTAGTTAATAAACATTTCCCTGTTTTTTAGAAGTCATCTTGTTTTACTGAATGCGGCACCTTAGTGAGTCAATCATTGAGGATGGAAAGATTTGGTTAATAAAAACCCACAGACAAGTGATTAGCTTACATGTGGGTTTAGTTAAACAAGAATGGAACGTACAATGATATTTACCATATAGTATACTTTATATCTTTACGGATGCGTTTGATTCATCAATTATAAGAGAATACCTTTACTAAGATGAACACACTGAACTTCACTATTTTTAATAGAATTCTAATTATATAACAAAAAATGCCTGTTTTTCAAGAGAGTCGTACTAAATTTAAAAATTGCGATTATAGATCGTTTTTAAAACGTACTATTCAGTAATTYCKCTTTTCGCAATTTCAAAGCACCCACCCCTCTAACTAAAACTTTGAGAGAATTTGTGCGTAGATTTAGAATAGCAAGTTTTCCCTTCTAATCCTGTGAAGTAGGTCTGGTTACATACTTCTTATTCAAAATGCCGCTAGTGTTAATCAAAGTCAATTTAGCACCTGATGATTTTACAGGTATCTTTAAAAAACTTTTACTCTTTTTTTCTTTCTTTCTTTCTTTTAGCCTTTTTTTTCTTGACCCTTTTTTCCCATTAGAATAAAATATAAGCTACTCAGTTGTACGCGTAGTCAATACTCATCCGTTTTTTCAGTGCTCTTACCGATTAACGTTCTCAACTGTGGCTGTAATTAGTCGATATCCTGCCGATAAGGAACTCAAAACGCCTTTYATTCAATAGGCTCGTAAATATATTATAAACATTGTAGAATTAAAATCAATTTGTCTTTAAGCGTATTTTTAATGAATTGCACTGCAGGGGTTTTTCAATCGTTAGGCTGCAAAGGTTTGGTAAACGACAAAAACTAGGAAAACAACTAGTGTTTACTAACTAGCTTACAAACAGGAAAACTAAAATCAAGACTGGGTAAAATATGCAGGCTGTGCTCCTTCGGTGTGTATCACTGACTTCCTGAGAAGCCTCGAATAGTGACCTCCAAACCGTTTAAAGACCGAAAAAGCAACAACGAAAGAACTGCGTGAAAAGAACTTCAGAATCAGAAAATGCCTTTCTTGAACGAATCTTATCTTAGTAATATTTCCATTTCTGTTATTAAAAATAATTCCATGGTTGAGGTCGAGCAAGATTTTAGGTTTTCAGTCACAAAGAGGGCATCTCTCATAGTCATCAATTTGATTCTTGCAGTCTTTGGAACATTTGGAAACTTTCTGATTATCTTTGCAGTTCTAAGTACTCCTCAAATTCGACGAAAGAAATCGAATTTCATCCTTCTGAACCTAGCAGTTGCAGATTTACTGGTTACCATGGTTACACAGCCATTATTTGCTATACAGCTGATCGTGTCGTTTTTCTATCGATGCAGCCATGTGGGGTTATTCAGTTTTACTTGGGATGTTTTTGGCGTCCTGTCTCTTCTCAGCTCTTTAACCCACCTTGCCTTAATCAGTATTGACAGAGCAATTTGTACCGCAAAGCCCCACAAACATCGCAGCATCATCAAGAAGTGGTACAAAGTGATGATTGGTGTCTGTTGGGCAGCTTCCACCDTGATTTGCTGCGTCTCAGTCGTATTTCGACATATCTCTGGATATCCACTCGCCAGTGCACATATTTTGACAGCCATATCATTTTTGTGCCTGATGGTTATGCTTGGATCATACGGGACGATCCTTTACAAAGTCAAGTCAAGTAGCATAGCGCCGGCACTACCTGCATTGTCTGCAGTTGTAAGGGAAAGAGCCGTGGAAAATCGAGTTTCTTGGACAGTTGGAATTTGCATCGTTCTCTTCTTCGCTTGCTGGGTTCCCCCTTCTGTGTACTCTGTGAGTGGATCAGATTTTGTTCCTTATTGTGGAATTTTGATTTCGAAGATTCTCCCATGGTTTCGCACTGTTATTCTTGCCAACTCTTGTATGAACTTCTTGGTCTACAGCCTGAGAATCCGCCATTTTCGCGTTGCTTGTCTAAGAATAATCGTGACAACACTACAAAAGTTTGGGCAAGCTGTGTGCCGCAAACTGTAAATCTAACCAAAGTGACAATAATAAAGAATTATCATGTGACCCTTATTTGGCTCTGAACGCAGCTCTCTWAGGCCAGACTTTGAACACGACACAACATGTATAGTACCTTTTYTTCAAATTCATTTAATATTCGTCCGTGACCCAGATTTGAACTAATTCCGAAGAATTGGAAATACATTCAATTAAAGTTGTCATTGTATTAAAGATTCTATGGGATGGTCGGTGCCATCTTATCGGACGACAATAGGCTCAAACCCAAAGATTTGCAYAAAAATGGCAAAAAATAAGAAAAATAGGGAAAAGTTAAGGTATTTTTTAGCACAGTGGGATGATATTTTTATTTTGAACACCCTACGGAAGTATATACAAAAACCTTTCTTTTATATAAGAGGAAATATATTCGTATTTCGTGTGTATAAACTCGATTTAAACGTTATTAACGTTGTCAAAGGCATACGCAGTGTATTTCTCTTCTGTTTCGTATCGATAGATAAAAGGCCAGTTAAGTAAACATTTGATGAGATGTCAAGTCTCTTGTGTTTTATGTTTAGAAATGCCGGCCATAACACACTCAATGCTGTTGACGATAATTTGGCGATAATTTGATCATATGAATAGGTATGATCAACTGGCGAGGGTTGTGCGCAATCAACGTCACAGGCAACCACGCAGCGTTCAGAAAATCATGGATTGTTATAAAAAMCATTTTTTAATCACTTTCTTCAAAACTAGCGACAGGTTAAGGGTATCATAAGACCTTAGGRCGACTCGACGGGGTAATGGCTTTGACGYACCGTCCATGTTTCATCGCGAAATGCGTCCAATGCCCAAGAAAAAACTAGATAAAGATGGAAGTTTCTTTTCGCATTAAAATCAACTTGATCGGATTTTTTTAGAAATATGTAATAAACGCTTAATAAACGGTGATTGTTTTCAAAGTCTCATTTTATGGCGAAAAATGTTTATGAATCAAAGTAGATTGTATTCACTTGTTTTCTTGAATTTAAAAGAATTCATGTTAATTTTTTTAAGCGCATTTTTTGTCGCATGAAAATTCGAGCTCGCATAATTCAAAAACGCTCTCATATAATTCTTTTAAACTCAAGAAAATAAGTGAATACAACTTGAAATGTACGATCAATAATCTATTCTACGATCTATAATCTATCTAATATTAGTATAAACATACTAATACAGCCTTTTGCAAAAA